GTGCCACCAAGCCAATCCAAATAACATTTCTGTAGAAAGGAAAAAGAATTTATTGGAGCTCACTGATGTTATATTCTGAATTTATTTATGTTTGAGGTCTGACTGTTCTCTTCATATTTCAATGTCAATGTGGCTATATGATTTTTTTCTATTTTTTTTAACTAACAATGTTTATTGGTACATTAAAAAAATGTAATTAGTACAGAGTCTACAGGGTCTCACTACACAGATTGGACTTGGAGTGATCCTCCTGTCTTCAGCCTCCCAAGCGCTGGGATACAGGCATGCGCTCCCATGCCCAGTTTCATCAGTGTCTCAGCACGCCCCAGGGGCCAGGCCTGCACAGCACACAGGAGACTGAACCCTGCTTCCTGCACCTGCCTAAGCAGGTGCTTTAGTCTGATGAGCTCTTTGGCCGGACCCCAGACTATAATTATAGCATCTCGAAGAATGCCCTGCAATAACTTTTGTGTGCATGTGACCAGCTCAACCCGCCCTGGGGGCGGGGATTGGTACACTTTAGGTCACATTCATCATAGGGAATTTGTACCTGCACATGATAGATCTTTGTGTGTGTGTGTGTGTGTGTGTGTGTGTGTGTGTGTGTGCAACCGGGGATTGAACTCTGTACATGATAGATCTTGTTTCTTTCTTCCCATTCCTCTATCCTCCCTTAAGCCCTCTACTCCTCCCCATTTACAAAACCTTTTCTTCCATGTTTTCCTTGTTTTGTGTCATTTTTTTTCTTTTCCCTTCCTTTCTTTCCCCCTCCCCTCTCCCTGCTTTCCCTTCCTTTTAAACATTTTCTTCCTATTCAGTTTCTGTTATATATTTTGGACCTTATTTAAACATTTGGCTTCTCACACCAGAGAGACCATGTGGTACTTACGTATGTGACTGTTTCACTTAAGAGTATGATAGTAAAGGTAAGTCCATTTCCCTTTTTTTGGTAAGTCAATTTTCCTAGAAATGTTTTAAGCTTTTTTTTTTTTTTTTGCAATACCGGGAATTGAACTCAGGACCCTGTGCTCACCAGGCAAGCACTTATTCTACTGAGCTATCTCCCCGGCCTGTTTTAAGCTCTTATCCTTCATTATGGCTGAGTAGTATTTTATTGTATAAAACCCCCACATGTTTATGTATGTGTGTGTGTGTGTGTGGTACTGAGGATTGGACTCAGGACCTTGCGCTTGCTAGGCAGGTGCTTATTCTACTGAGGTACCTCCCTGGCCTCTAAACCCACACATCTTTATCCAGTCATTGGTTGGTGGGCATTTGGGCTGTTTCTAAAATTTAGCTATCTATTATCAGGGGGCCGGAGAGATAGCTCAGTAGAATAAGCACTTGCCTGGTAAGTGCAAAGGCCTGAGTTCATTCCCTGGTTCTGCCAAAAATAAAGTAAAATAAAAGTTAGCTATTACAAACTGTGCTGCTATAAACACGGGTAAAGCTGGGTGTGGTGGTGTGCCCCTGTAATCCCAGCACTTGGGAGGCTGAGACAGGAGGATTTCTGTGAGTTCAAGGTCAGCCTGGGCTAGAAAGTGAGTTCAAGGCCAGGCTGAACTACATGGGGGGCGCTGTCTCTAAAACAAAGCCCTCACAATAACATGGATGCGCATATATCATTGTGGTATGATGCTTTTAGTTCTTTTGGGAAGACAGTGAAAAGAATAGCTGGGTCGAATGAAACCTCTGGTTCTAGGTTTCTTTCTTTCTTTTTTTTTTTTGGCTGAACCAGGGATTGAACACAGGCCCCGGCACTTGCCAGGGAAGCTCTTATTCCACTGAGCCATCTCCCTGGCCCTGGTTCTAGGTTTCTTTTAAATTTTTATTTATTTTTTTTATACAGGGTCTCGCTGTGAAGTTCAGACACCTAGTGATCCCTGCCTCAGCCTTCTCAGAGCTTGGATTACAGACATGTGCCACCACACCGTTTCAGGGCCAGCATGGCACACCTGGGGTTCTGGGGCTGGCTTGGCATGTGGTACCAGGGATGGAACTCGGGTCCTTGCGCTTGCCAGGTAGGTGCTTAGATCGCTGAGCTACCTCCCCCGCTCTGGATCTAGTTTTTCTTTCTTTTTTTTTTTTTTTGCATATGCGGGTCTGCTTTATTTTACTTAAGTGTATGTTCCCTAGTTGTATCCATTTACAGAAAAAAAACCCTCAAATTTATCCTGTTTTCTACCTGAATAACAATCTATTGTGTAAAAGTATCACATCTTCCTTATTCAGTCTTCAGTTGATGGAAATTTATGTAACTAACAGCTGAAACTTTCCCAGTCTTTTTTTTTTTTTTTTTTT